AGTGTCCAGAACAAATAGAGTTGAAAGAAAGACAAGATCATCAGAGCCTGGCTAACTTGGTAAACTGATGACATTGCAGTCAGGTAAGGTCATAGATAAGAAAGCTTAGCTCAAAGATTTCCCAGGTAGCAATTAGCAGAATTGTTTGAGCTCCCCCATGATGAAGATAACATAGTAAGAGAAGTGCAGGAGACAATTATATGTGAAGAAAACAATACATAATCTGGAAGTTCTGAAAATAGTAAAAAAGCAATGTGATGGGGAAGAAGATGATAACCAAGAGAAGGACACACAGATAAAACAAGAGAAAGACCTATAGATAAAACCCATAGATAAAGCCAGGAGATAAAACTGAGTATTTGGAGCAGCTGGCTTTATTTTTTTTGTTTCTTTCATTCTGGAAAACATTCTTGAACTTGGGAAGCAGGTTGGTCTTTACAGATTAATAATTTATTGTTTAAAAGTTTGCTTATTTTGCTTCTCCTATGCTTATTAAAAGGGGTTCTGGTGGAGCAGTGGTTAAGGCATTGGGGTGCTAACCAAAAGGTTGGCAGTTCAAACCTGCCAGGAGCTCAGTGGGAGAAAGATGAGCCAAACTGCTTCTGTAAAGATTTATAGCCTCGAAACGCTATGGAAAGTTCTACTCTGTCTTATACGGTTGCTATGAGTCTCAATCAACTCCACGGCAGTGAGAAGGTGGTTATTAAGGTAAGTGGTTCCAACCCATCAGCTGTTCCACTGAAAACATCCACAGAAAGATGTGGCTGTCTGCCTCTGTAAAGATTTATAGCAGTTCCATAAAGTGTTGTGGAGCACTTGTACTCTGTCGTGTAAGGTCACTATGAATCGCAATCAACTCAACATCAATGTTTTTTTTTTTTTTTTGGTGGTTATATATAATATTAATAACCACTACCCCAAAACTTCCATTCCAAATCAAATAAACATGTTCATAATGTGCATGTTTTTACAGTTGTGTCAAGTTGGCTCCCATCTGTGGTGACCCCATGTGTGTCAGTGGACCGTGCTCCACAGGGTTTCCAAGGCTGTGGCCTTTCAGAAGCAGATCACCAGGCCTTTCTTCTGAGGTCCTCTGGGGAGGTCTGAACTGACAGCCTTTTGGTTAGTAGTCAAACGCTTAACTCTCTGCTCTGAGCCACCCAGGATTCCTATTTGAATGCGCTGTTGTCAATTGCCATTGAATTAGCCCAACTCATGGTGATCTGTATCTTGAGTGTAACTGCTCTTTAGGGTTATCTTAGCTGTAGTCTTTACAGGAAGGAGTCCTCGTGGTGCAATGGTTAAGTGCTTGACTGCTAAATGAAAGGTCAGTAGTATGAACCCATCAGCTGCTTCATAGGAGAAAGGTGTGGCAGTTTGCTTCCATAAAGATTACAGCCTTAGAAGCCCTATGGGGCAGTTTGACTCCGTCCTATAGGGTCTCTCTGAGTCAGAATCGACCTCATAGCACACAACAACAATCTTTATAGAAGCAGTTTGCCAAGTTTTTCTTCCTTGGAGCTACTGGGTGGTTTGAACCATCAACCTTTAGGTTAGCAGCAGATACACAAACCGTTTGCCCCATGTACACTGGCCTAAAACGTTACTATCACACAGATCCTTAAGATTCCCTTTTCTGGGTCTATCAAGACACTTCTCTCTGGTTAAAGACTACAGAAGACTACCCCTCAGAAAATCACATGACAGTCTCGATTTATAAAGACTACCCCGCATCCATTTCTGAATCTTCCTAGTGCCTAGTCTACTGCCTTACATGCATTTAATAGACATTTCATTGAGTGAATGCATGACATAAATATTCAAGGAAACCCAAACTCAGCAAAATGAAGTAACTGGAAAGAGAAATCTAGGACACCTGGGTTCCATGAATTCAATCCAATTAGAAAAAAATGTAGGCAGGTCCTTGTTATGTGCAAGGAGTAGTGGCACCCAGCAGGTTCAAATAAAGTCTGCTTAGGAAGAAGATGGCAAAGCTGCCTTTTGGTAATGTGTGTGCATATGCAAGATAACAGTAGATCTACAGATTACAGATAGCAGAGAAGAAAAATGAGCAAATTACAGATTATTTTGTACACAGGTTAATTCCCAAAGCTATGCACCTATAAGATTTTGCCTTTATTGTATACCAACAGTGACTCTGGATATCTTTAAGTTTGCATTTCTGGCTGGAAGACAGGCTTCCCTAAAACTTTCACATGCTAACAGCTTTAATTAAAGTAGATGGCCTTATTTAAATAGTAATTAGCCTTCAGGACTTGAAGTGTTTACAGAATGCTAATTCATTTAGATAGTTAATTGGTCTTCCGGGTTAGAGATCTGAGCTGTGATGTAGTCATGTGTTGACTATAGCCAGTGTAGCATGTTGACGCAATAGGGTGAAATTTTGCAAAGTCTTGCTTGGCTCCCACGATTTTAGCTTTCAATGCCCCCATAATGACTAATGTAAATGAACTTGAAAACACTGTGAAAACATCCAATGGCAAAATCATTAATATTTGGCCATTCTTCATAATTACAGGAACCATATGGCCCAGTTTATTCATGTTATCCCACCGTGATTACTGATAGCGTCCCCTTTCAAACACAAGTGTCTTGGTTTGGAGATACATTATGTGGTCACCCTATTCACAGTCAAACATGACACAACACCAAGTGATAGCTTAACTAAAGCTGTGGATAAGATTGGTTACATTTATCTAGTGAATTCAATGACAAATAGCAAGACTCTTCTCCCTGCTTACTGCCATAAAGATGGTTAACAATGGATGACACTAATTGCTATCAAGTTGATTCGGACTCATACCAAACCTACGGATAGGGCAGAACTGCCCTATAGGGTTTCCAAGGCTGCAATCTTCAAGGAAGAAGATTGCCAATCTTTCTCCTGCAGAGCAGCTGGTGGCTTCAAACCACTGATCTGTCAGCCAGCAGTAGCAGCCAAGTGCTTACCCACTGCACCACCATGGCGCCCAACGATGGATGATAGAAAAGTTTACCACAGCCCCCTGTCCCCAAGGACAATAACTCTGCCAGGAGTTTTGCACTTGCCTTTTCTAAGTTTCTTGCTCTGCCAATGTCTTTTGCTCAGAGAAGAATACAGTGCTAACTGAGAGCCAGAACTCTGTTTTTTTGGGTCTCTCAAGTGTCCCACCTTTGACAGGGTGTAGTCTTACCATTTCTATAGCTCATTTTAGTGGGAAATATTTGTGTTTTCCTTCTCTGACAGGTTTCCACCTTACACAGGTTTTACTCTCTTTGATGGCTGCACGTCTGGCTGTTGCTATGGTTGGCTCCTCAGCGTCACAGATAGACGGCTTGGAGGGGGAGTCTGATGTTTCACGTTCCTCTTGCTTGCTTACCCCAGCTTATCACAGTCTACCAAAGATGCATAGGTCTGCCGCTGGCCATCTTCCCCACTTGTGCAACCAACAGACCTGTTTAAATAGTATATATCACATAATTCAACACGTTTTATAATAAAGGCAGTGGCTGGCACAAAGGAGGCATTCACAGATATAAATAGAATGAATACCAGCCACACTTCCACACGGCGCTGGGTGCTAGGAGCTAGGTGTAGGAAAGGGAGAGGGGAAGAAAACCAGGCATTATCAAGTAGGCTGTGCCCTCAAAGGGTTAACAGTTTCCCAAGGGAAGATGTAAGTAAATAACCATAATCGAAAGTAGGAATTATCAAGCGTCAAAAGATATGAGAGTGGGTAGGAGGTAAAGTTCACTGGGCCGGGGAGCGGATTGAGGATTGAAGCAAGAGGGGCAAACTGGAGTTTAGCTTCGTTCCAGCTCAGGGTTAACTCAAAGCCCTCATGGAGTCCTGCGAACGTGGAGGGAGGGCCCCTCCCCTTTTAGTTGTTAGTTGGCTGAAATCCTGCGCTTAGCTTTTTTTTTTTTTTTTTGGCAGGCTAACAACTTTCTCCTCACGGTTCATGACTAACCCCAATAAGCATCATTAGCTCATTTTGCAAATATGAATATTACGATAGGGCAAGATACACAGCTAAATGTTACCAATTTATCGGGATTAACTTCAGTGGCGAAGGAGAAATACCACTGAAGTAGCATTAAGGAAAAAAGCGAGTTAAACGATCGCTCTCTCATCCAAAAGAGAAACAAAGCAAAGCTATTCTGCTTCAAGAAGCTTACAAGGAGGAGGGCTTACTCCCAGAGCAGTGCTGTGCTACAGAGCACTCAAGGTGAACAGAACATGCAGAGCTTTTACTTTCTATCAGCGTCTGACTGCTCACCCCGAGACAGAACGTGCTGCTAACACCCGCCACCCAGGGCGCGCGCCCGCTCGCCCGCCCCCAGCGCCTTGGCACCGAGCGCGGCAGGCCTCCCGGGCGCGCGCGACGGAAGGAGGAGCCCGGCGCCCCGCCCCCTGCCAGTTTCGCCCCGCGCCGCCCCGCCCCTCTCTTATTCGGTTCCCGGCGCCCGGAGCTCAGACTGTAACCCGAGCGCGCGCTCGTCCTCCCCGAGCTGCACGAGTGCGCGGCGCAGGCGGAGGCCGGCGGAGAAGCTCGGGACGCGGGCGCACGCAGAGCCCGGGAGCCGGGACAGCGCCGCGCTGAGGGGGAGTCGAAGGGGGCCGTGCGTCCTGAACTGGAGGAAGTGGCCCCGGGCCGAGGGCCAGCTCGGCGTCAGAGGGAGGGTCCCGCGCCCAGGCCGGAGGGTCTGAGGTCGCCGCCGCCGGGAGCAGCTCCGCCAGGCTCCCGGAGACGCTGGGGGAAGAAGGAGGAGGAGGAGCCGCAGCTGGACGGTGGCAGCTGGAGGAGGAGCCGCACGGCTGTCCCGTGTGTCGGCGAGCCGCGCTGGGATGATCCACTGACCGCGCCATGCAGCCTTGACGGAGGGCTCCGGCGCGCAGGGGACCAGCCGGGGGCGCGCCCTCCTTAGCGGGGACCTGGCGCTCGGGCTCCAGGACTTTACGCCGACGTTCTAGCCCAGCTGGAGCGCAGCCATTTGCCATGGAGCCCGTGACCAAGTGGAGCCCCAAACAAGTGGTGGACTGGACTAGAGGTGAGCGGGCGTCGGGGCCCCGACTCCTCCAGTCCGGGGCTGGGGCGGCTAGCGGCTGCGGAAGGGGTGCTCAGCTAAGCCCGCGGCCGGGACTTTTGAAAGCGCTGCACGTTGACCGTGCAAACTTCTTCCGCGTGGCCTTTGCGCCCTCACCCTTTAGCCAGCTCCGAACTGTTCTATTGGGGTACAAATCGTGGCAAGGCGAGGGGGGGTCCCATTTTGAAAGCAGGGAGAAGAGGTGGCCTTTCTCTGGAGGGTGAGGGTTGGGGATGCTGGCGGGTGGCGCCCCCCTTGCCCTGCTGAGGTTCTGTGCTCGGCGCCCCGGCGGGCAGTCCCAGAGCGCAGAGGCGCAAGGCGCCTTTGTGCGGGTGCCTCCTGCGGGAGCTCGTAAATTCCGGCTGCCCAGAGCAGTCCGCAGGCCGGGCAGGGCGGCTGAACAGGTACCGCACGCCGGCGGGCCGCCGACCCTTGCTGTTTTGGTTGGAGACTGCGAGAGGGTAGCACGAGAACCAACTGTGGCGCTTGCGCGGGTGAGAAACCTTGAGCCGGGGCTCCCCGGGAGTCGACGACTTTTGCTCGGGTAAAGTACCAGTACCCTTGGCGGGAGCAGCTTTCTACGTCACATTTAAGAATTAGAAAGGAGAACTTGAACTGTTTTGAGCCACTGTTTTTTGAGTTAGGCAGTATTTGAGAAAGCGGTGTGGTGGGTGGTGGTAGGTGGTCCAGGGGTAGCCGCTTGCACTCTTGGCTGCCTCGATTGCTTTTTAACATCTCCCAAGAATTAGAGGGAAAGGCCATAGAGGCCTTCAAGCCTCTGTGTATGCTTCTAAGAGAACAAAAAGTCCATAACACAAATAGATTTTCGTGGGGCCCCCCTCCCCTAATTCAACATATCTGTTTCAAGTTACTGTTGTTTACTTTCTTCTATCTACTCTTCTAGGTGAGGAATGGTGTCCTTTCTCAGTAATAATAACTAGAATTGTGTAGCGCTTTACAGTTTGCTAAGCGCTCTCTATGTTATTGCCCTTGGCCATCACAGTAAGCCTGTGAGGTAGGTAAATACTGGTAAGATCAGGTCACCTTCAAACCGTCTCACCCATGGCCATGGCACAAATGAAATCCACCATCTCCACATGTCATTTCCATGCTGGTGTGGTACACATGGACCACATGGGTCGGGATGTCCTACAGGGTAGCACTGTCGGTGGGACATGTCTGTTTCCTGAGCCTCTGGGAGAAGGTAAGGAACACTCTCTCCTGAGAAGAGCTTTGTCCAGTGACCACATTTTGTGGGCTCTTACTTAAAACAAAGGTAAAGAAACCAAATACTTGTAGATCCGTGGTTAGGTTTGACTGTGTAAAGAGTAAACAGTATTGTCATCTGTAGGACATACAGAACCTTAGTGTGAAAGCTGTAAATATCCTTAGAAATGGACTGTTTTCTCCTCTCCTCTGGATACTGCCAGGTTCCCCATCTAGCAACTTGCCTGTCCCCTGAGCCTGAGGGATTGATCTGTTCACTTGGACGTCCATCTTCACGGCAACTTACCAAACTGATATGCTTTAAGCAATTTTGACCTCTAGGATAGTCCTGACAGGAGCTCTGGTGGCATGGTGCATAAGGCATATGGCTACTAACTAGAAGGCTGGTGGTTCAAACCCCCCAGCTGCTCCACAGAAGGAAGATAGGGAAATCTACTTTGGTAAAGATTTACCACCTTAGAAACCCGATGAAAGTCTCTATGAGTTAGAATCAACTTGATGGCAGTGAGTTTACTTTGGTTTGGTTTAGTTGTTGTTGATGTTCCGTCAACTCGGCCCCGACTCGTAGTCACCCTTCCTTGGATTTCCAAGGCAGTATCTCTATGGAAGTAGATTGTGCAACCTTCCTTCCAAGGAGTGGCTAGTGGGTTTGAACTGCCAGCCTTCTGGTTAACAATCAAGTGCTTTAGTCACTATGCTACCAGAGCTCCCGGTTTGGTTTAGAGTGGACCTAAGAGGAGTTGTGATGATGCAGTCGTTAACGCTCTTGGCTGCTAACTGAAAGGTCAGCAGTTTGAGTGCACCAGCCGCTCCACAGGGGGAAGATGTGGCAATCTGCTTTCTTAAAGATTACAGCTTTAGAAATCCTATGAGGCAGTTCTTCCCTGTCCTATAAGGTCACTTTGAGTCAGAATCAACTTGATGGCAATGGGTGTTTAGGACAGTGGTGCAGGAGCCTTGGTGGTGCAGTGGTTAAGTGCTTGGCTGCTAATCAAAAGGTCTTTGGTTCGAGCCTACCAGTGGCTTCACCAAATAAAGACCTGGCAATCTGCTCTTGTAAAGAGTGTTGTTGTTATGTGCTGTCGAGTTGGACCCAACCCATAGTGACCCTTCCTTGGGTTTCCGAGGTGATATCACTATGGAAGTAGATTGCCCAGTCTTCCTTCTGAGGAGTGGCTGGTGGGTTTAAACCTCCAGCCTTCTGGTTAGCAGTCAGATGCCTTAGGCGATATGCTACCAGAGCTCCTCCTATAAAGATTATAGCCTAGAAAATCCTATACGGGCAGTTCTGCTCTGTCCCATGGGGTGGTTGTGAGTCGTAATCGACTCAACAGCACCTAACAACAACTACCACAACAGAGTGATGCTGGCCTTTAAGGTAGCTGGTAACCCAGTGTGACTATCAAGTCCCTGAATTGTCACTACTCAGAATTGAAATGTGCTCTCAATGTACAGTATACACTGAATTTGAAGACTTGGTGTGAAAAAAATATAAAATAGCTCATTAATTATTTTTTTTTATTGCTGTTGAAATGGCAATAATTTTGCATATAATGGGTTAAACTAAATATACTACTACAATTAACTTTACTGGTTTATTTTTTCCCTTTTTTAATTGCAGTGCCTAGAAAATTTAAAAACTATACCTATGGATTACATCTATGGCTGAGTAACTCATTCCATTGAGTCTATTCTGACTCCCAGTGTCCCTACAGGACAGAGTAGGACTGCCTCATAGTGTTTCTAAGGCTGTGAATCTTAACGAAAATAGTGCTACATCTTTCTCCTTAAGAGCTGCTGGTGGGTTCAAACTGCTGATGGTTCAGTTTGTAGCTGAGGGTTTAATGTGGCTGACAACGAAACTTAATGTACAGTACAGTTCTAGAGTACAGACAGGGTTAAATCTTATCACTGTGGCTTTCCTGAGCCTCTGCCAGCCTGCTTGGTAATGTACAAGCAGAAATTGGTAGCAGGAACACAGTAAGATTATGGAGTGAGATCTTCACACCCTTAAGATTTGTGTCTTTTTTTTTTTTTTTTCTCTTGGGATTGGGAGAGGAGAAGTGTAAATTCACAGCCTGTTATGCTGGTTTCTCATCTAAAAGGAAGAGCAGGTTAGAATGTGTTTTTGGCGTCTAGTTGCCTTTATATTATGGCTTAGTTGGGGTTGCTTTCATGTGGAAAAGTTTCCTAATGATCCGAGAGAGCAATTATGGGTGGCTCAGGACCTCAGAGTCCAAAGCACTGGACACTGATTAGGTGACATACCTGTGGCTGGCACTTGGCAACTTTATACCAAGCACTATGCCCTTTCGGATTCTAAGTTCAGCCTCAGAGAATGACCTGGATACTTTCTGTGTTAGGGTGTGAGGAAAACACAAAGAGCTAACTCTTAGAGGATAAGGGGCTCCGTTTACCCACCGTGTATGACACATTACTTGAATATTTCCCACACCATGTAAAAGTATTGACTTTTTAGCAAACTTTTGGTTTATGAAGCTTTGTTTGCTATAGGGATATTTTTAGCTGTCTTGGCTAACCTTGCCACCCAACCCCCATTTTATAAACACTTCCTCCTGATAAGCAGCTCTTCGTGTGGACTTTGCTGCTCTTGGTACTGTGCGAGTATGGATATGGTCACGTGAGCACGGCAGGAAGCCTTCCACGTGAAACTGTCAACCTGGTCATAGATGACAGCTTACTTTCATGTAGTGTTGTTAGACGCACACGTTAGCACCCAAATTGATGTCTAAAGAATGCATGAATTGTTTGGCCTTTGCGTATTAATCTTTATCAACACTGTCACCACTATTAGCATGATAGTAATATATGCTCGTAAGTGTTAGCAGTGTGTCAGGCCCGGGTTTTAAGCATTGGCCAGTGTGAATTCAGTTCATATGCACAACCGCCCTTTGAGGTAGGCATTCTTACTTCCATTTTGCGGTTGAGGGAACTGAGCAGTGAGAAGTTAAGTACCTTGACCATTGATTGTCACATGGCTGGGAGGTAGCTGGGCAGGATTTGGCCCCAGGCACTTAAGCTGGTTTCACTCGTCTCAGCATCACATTTATGAATAGATCTTCAGGATTCTCACAGTGTGAGTTTATTACCATATGTTAATAGGGGAGAGTCAGCCAGTCTGTGGGCCTTATTATACGGATTAGGCGTGTGTCAGAAAAGTTATTTGTAAATCAAATGAATTCATAGCTCATGGCCCCTTGCCAGTGACATAATTCAAGAGGCTTGAGCTCTGCTGGCGTAGTGCCTAAGGCATTTGACTGCTAACCAGAAGGCTGGCGGTTCAACCCCACCAGCCACTCCTCAGACGGAAGACTAGGGAATCTAGTTCCGTAGAGATACTGCCTGAGAAACCCAAGGAGGGGTCACTATGAGTTGGACTCGACTTGATGGCAGTGAGTTTGGTTTTGATTTGGTTTGCAAAGCAAATGATCTTTTATAGCTACTATCAGATAAGAGTAAGTTCAGCTGCACAGAACAGAAAACCCAGCTGACAGTGGACTTACCGACTGGGAGTTTGTGAAAGAAGTGGGGAGATGAGCAGCCCCGGAGTATGTGGGGGCTCCATGGTGCTCTCAGGAACCCTGCTTTTTTGCTGTTCTGTTCAGCAGTTCTTAGCACATGCATTTGTTTTCACATTAATGCCTTGATGCAAGATGGCACCTCCACCTCCCATGTCCTGTGCCTGTTCCAGGCAGGAGAAGGGAGACCCACAGATG